TAAAAATTATTTTAAAATTATCAAAAATTATTATTAAAAGTTGTTTTGAATATTATATTAAAATCTTAAAATATTTTTTAAGATTGTTTGTGTCTTTTCTTGAATTTTTTTTACTTGCTTTTCTGATGCTCTTTAGTCCTTTAAAGTAGAAAATTTTATTCAGCTTTTTTTTTTTTGAGTCCCTAGAGTTAGTCATAAGTTGCAATTTAAAAATTGTGAAATACTATGAATATTTTTTTAAGGAAGTGTAATTTAAGCTAAATTTTGGTTGTGGCTTTTTCCAGCCTTATAACAAAAAAGCCAATTAGGTATGAGCACAAGTGCGTTCTAACTTCCGAGCTTTACTGTTAGGATAACTTGCAAGGATGGATAGGAAAAATAGTAGCACCGGGTCTAAGCATTTTCTTGGAATATAAAGGAACTGCAACTAATAGCTGTATTCTTAGATGAAGATTTATGTTGAACAGTCAGTGAAGAGGCAATGCATTTGTTAACAGCCTGGCTAAAGCATTAATCCATATTCGTAAGAAAATATGCCAGATTTTTCAGAAACTGAGATGCTCGTGCTATTGATTGTGATCTGAAACCTGAAGTATTTAGCTGGTGGCTTTATGGTTACTGAGGAGGTGACCACAACGACAAAGCAGACAACTGTATAAATCTATGTCTTGTTTATTTTATATAAATAAAAAGTTACATGAGGAGGGGACAGCTACATTTGCTACTCTAAAAGTTATTTAACTGTTCTCTTTAAGGCAGGACAATGTTGCAGGAGGTAAGAGAAGTCTGCCTTTATAGAGTCTGCCTTTTAAGATAGCTGTAATAACAAAAGTGAGGCAAATCTTAAGTTATCACAGGTAACTAGCAGGAAGATTTTTGTTTCTTTTAACATAGGGTTAGGAAGCAAGAAGCAGCCTGTACATCTTCTCGTACCCCATGGAGCATTTGAAATAAAGAATCCACCTGCTTTGAAACACAATGACATACTGTCTTGGTTTGAAGGCTGCAGCGAGGGTAAAGTTGAAGGAATTGTGTGGCACTGCCATGATGGGTGTTTAATCAAGGTAAATATATAGATGGACATGTGGAAAGCACTATAATAATTCGTAGTATGTGAAGTATTGTGAGGTATTCACTTTTTGTCTTGTTTACTACTAAAGAATTGAGAAAACATTCTAGCAAATCAGCTGACAGTAGAATTAGTCAAGCCAGTGAATCACTAGAACAACATCTTAAACTCTTTAATTATCTACATTATGCTAATAACTTAAAGTAATTAAGAACATCAAATAATATTTTCTTGCTTCCCTGTATAGGAATCACTCAACGTTTTAAAGCTTAATTCTTTTATTTAAAAAATTTATGTCTTGTAGTGTTGACTTATAGAATAAGTATTGTTAATAGGAAGGTGATTTTGAATTAATTAGCGAGTTTATATTATTTCTGAAGCTGTGGAGGACACCTTGGTGCTGGTTGGCCTTTTGTGCTTCGTTGTTACTCCTGTTATTCAGATAACTGGTTAATGGTTGTAAGTGCCCTAACGCAGAGGCTCCTCGAATTAAAGCACACCCAACCCCCCCACCCCCCCCACGCTGAGAACTGTTGGGCCACTATATCAAAACCTCTAAACCAGTCTTATTTCTTTTTATTTTAGCTCCATCGCCATCATCTTGGCTTGCGCTGGCCACTTGCGGAGACGTACCTGAATTCTCAGCCGGTTGTAATTTCTTTTAATAGAACTAAATATGACGGTGACTTTGAACCAAAGAGTTTGTTTCACCATTTTTCAAACTTGGATGGTCAAAGATTTGACAGACTCAAAGATATCAAGTTTGATGCTTGAAATTTTTTTTTTTTTTTCTCTTTCAAGTTAATTGTCATATGTGCTGCATTCCTCTTAGTTGTGTCTACTACAGAACTCTTTACACATTATCTTCTAGCTTGGGCAACAGCCTAGGTACTGTACAATTTTAAGTTTTTCTTAATTGACTAATTTTATGTAACGAGAGATCCAAAATCCAGAGCAGAGATTTAGCTTCTAGCTTGTTTCTTTTCAGTTCTGAAAAATCCTTAACTTTTGAACCCATTTCTGGAAACTGATACCATTAAGTGTAAGTAGTATGTTGTCTAACACTGGCTGGTCCTAAGAGCTTAGCTAATGAATGCAATCAACTGTAAAATTCCATAGGTTGCACTTCTATAATTATTATGACACTGTTATATGTAGGATTCAGATTTAGGATCTAGTTGTTTCTTAACAGTAAAGGACATATTTCAGGTGGGACCAGAGAATTAGTCCTGAAATTTGATAATTTTTTTTAAAGTTCTAACAATTTCTTTTGGGGGAAAACCTTTCACTGTATTATTTAACTAGTAAGCTGCAGCATTATGCTATTACTTGAAAAACCTAATTAAGCTATATCCTACAGGTACTTCCACTATTTTGGGACAAAAATTGTAAATTATAGTATACTAGTTCTGTTTTGGAGATTGTTAGTAACTAGAGAGAGACGTATGATTTGGCTTGATAATACCCCTTTTCAGACTGCATCTCAGTTAGGAAACTTCATCAAGGGCATATTAAGTAAGCTGGCATCTAAATAGTAAAGGTGAGCCTGAACAATTGTTTCAGCTGGTTTTATTTTATCTGTGCTATAAAAGTATACATCCGGCTATATAAAATATACAAAACGAAAAGATCATTTATCTACAAAAATACCATTAGTTTGGTTCAAAATACTATAACTTTATTTTCAATTCTTTGTTCTTGAATTTTCTAAAATTGAGGTAAAAATAACCAGGTGTGTAAGAAGAGATATCCAGGATGCTGACCCTGAGTCTATAATTAAGAAGTCTGGTAGCATAAGACAGTAAGAACAAATTGCATATTCTTATTGATATGAAACTTAGCATACTTAGCCTAACAACTGAGAAACTCGTAAAATGTGCTAAATCAAATGTTTCAGCTTCACCTGCCACCTATGTATTACCCAAATTAGTCTTCTGAATTAAAACATAATATTGCAAAGGAGTTGGGAGAGGTAAAACTCACTTTTGTGTTGACTGCTATGTATAAATACTGACCTTTAACAGACTTGTATTCTTCCAACATAAAAACAGACAAATAAATGGGTATTGTGTAACTGCCCCAGAATTTTCTGTGTCAATACTGGGGACACTAAACACTAGCCTAATCAGCAGAAAAGGTGACTGGACTATCCACTTGAATGCCAAACTCTTCAGAGAGCTGCTTTAATCTCTCTTCTAAGATAATATTTTTTTTCACTTCTTCATTGTAGTTATATTTCAGATCCTCAAGTTCTTCAAAAAATTCAGGGTCACGGTTTTGTAGTTGTCTTCTCAGCTCTTTTGTTTCTTCCTATTAAAAAAAAAAGAGGAGTACCACCTTTATCCAGAACTTAGGAACTACACGTCAACAACAGCTTTTTCTTCCTTAAGAGGCTAAATGATGAGAATAAGCACGTTCGCCAGAGACACAAAAATCTACCCATGAACAGCACATTCACTGACAACTAAATAGGCTTCATAAACACAATGTTTAGAAAATGACTTTGTCATTAAATATTAGGTTAGATATTAAACAGCTCTTTCTAACAATAATTTTGCTCATTATCTTGCCTAGGATGATCCTTGCAACTCACCTTTAATTGCTGTTTTTCCATCTCTGAGGCTTTCAACTGTGTCTGGAGGTCAGCTACTTCTGTCATTAACTTGTCATTGTTATACTTCTCTACAATTTCATTATGTCCTGCAAAAACGATGATAATTTGTTATGAAATTGAAGGTAATGAAAATCAATGATGTGAATAATCTCGTTACAGTAATTCTGTATCTCCTGAAAGCTGAAACAGTTAAAGTGTGTAAACCCAGTTGGGATCAACACCCACCAAAACTTCAAGTCACCTGGGCTTCTGTGTAGTTCTTGTACAAATTAGGTGGGGGTGTCTAGTTCCGGGGATGGAACACAATACTCTGGTGGCCAGTCTATTACCACACTTCTGAGAAATATGACAAGTACAGTTTCTCTCACTTAAATGCAGGAAATTTAACAAGATCCTTATACTTATTTCCAATTGTATTTGTAACTTCAAGAGGGTTAATTTTTTTTTTTTCCCCCCAGTCATACAGCAATGTGCTGCCCTACAGTGCTCTGCTTTTCCCATGGGACCCATGCCTGCTAAGTCTTCAGTCATTCCCAGAGGGGTTCAATGAATGACTGACATCTTGCAAGCAGTCTTTAGAGGTTTATAAAGCAAATGGGGGCATGAACTACACCTCTTTTTGGAAAGGGAAATCTTACAAAGATTACAGCCTCTTGCTCAAGAGAATTAATTACGGAGATTTTTACTAACACTTCTCTATAAAAGGCTTGTATAAGTACTTAAAAATCCAAGACCTTTGTCTGCTCCAGTTTACACTACTCTGGCATTAATATAATTCAAATAATTCTGTAGATTTATTATCATTTTGCACACACATATTAAGTAAAAATAGTTTTAGTCCTAAAATACAGGAAGATCTTTATTTTTAGGTATTGAAAATGATTACCGGCTGCAGGACCTTCACTTGTATATCTGTGTTTGTGGTGCTTATAATCCTCCACCTGGTGAGCTAGTTCTGCTTTCTCTTTCTCTAATCGATTATTAGTTAATCTGGAATATAAAACAGTTTTGGAATTTTTTTAACTATTAAAATAGTTTAGAATATAAAAGATGTAACTCAAAACCACAATGGCCATTTCCTGATCATTCTTACTTCATGTACATTGGCTGAGCTGTTTTAAAGGTACGTTACCTTAAAAGCTGAAGCTCCCTGATGAGGCTTTGCTCTGTCCTTGCGCCTTCAGGCAAGTGTTTGAGAAGCTCAGTCTTAAAAGAAAAATTAAGAAAGTTTTACTCTGGAAAACTGTATCCATGGATAATGCAGTTCAGATGGAGTTCTCTTTGATACAGGATTAAAAAAGGAATGAAAATGATACTAAGGATGTAACCAAGTACTAGGGTATTAGAGGAAAAAAACCCAAGTGTTCACCTCCTGACAGGTTCCACAGAGCTAATTATCTACAGCCTTTTTCAAGTTAGTCTAGGTCATTGCTACGTATTTCATGAAGGGGGAAGAAAAAAAGTACTCAAAAGTTAGATTTACAAAGAAAGTTAGACACATAGCTACATTAGCATAATTTATACATATACTTAAGGAAGTGATAGGCCTAAATCATGTAAATGCGTTAAAAATACTACTGACATGTAGTATTTTTAAGTACTTCTATTTTTTACTGACATGTATATTTTTAAACATAATACAAAAAGCCTGTGATTTTGCAGTGAAAACCCAAGACAGCGTATGTTGACGAGAAATGCCCTGCAGTCGTAAGTTAGACCAGAGAGGGAGGGAGCCTCTAGATGTGCCTTTCTGTAGAAGCTGCAGGAGCAAAAAATTAGCGGTTTAAATATGAGCCTATATACAGGTTTTGAATGCAGTGACAATTTCTGAACTGTCATAGGGCTACTGTTAGCGATAGGCTTTTGTTCTCTTACTACCTAAAATGGTAGGGATTTGGTTTTTTCCACAATCAATCTGTTTCTTTGAAATGTAGTTAGTTAACCTTGACCACATCCCTTCACCAGTATTTGAGACATGAAAGAACCTGAGAAGTGTGCTGCTCCAGAGTAATAGCACGTAAGGAAAGAATGTTATCTCTGTTGGTATGCACTCCATGTCAATAATGCTGACTTTAGAAAAGGGAAAACAAGCAGAAATTAACAAAATAATTGTTTTATAGGACTCAATTCCAAGTTCTATTTATTGAACACGTTTACTTGCTTACATAACAAGTATGACTTCCTATACTGAAAGCTGGGTATTCAATACCTTACGCTGAGAATGGCCAGTACAGGACGTCTGGGAAAGAAAACCATGCACGTATTAATAAATGAGAAGATGGAAGCTAATCTAGGGGCACGGTCCTAGGGCTACCTCGCTGGAGTACTTAAAGGCCAAAATTTGATACATCTCTTCAAAGGTACCTGAGTTTAAAATTCATCAGCTCTTTCACGTGTGAAATAATACTTGTAAGACTTATTAGGGACTGCATGGAAGAGGCCATATTGGAAACAGGCATGAAGATCCCCTTTAGGATGGCCAAGGCAATCCCCAAAAAAGACCTGGAAGGATGAGGGAAGTCCCTGCAGCAAACTCTCTCTGTGGAACAAGCTAGAAAATGTCAAGACTGTTTGAAGCATTTGTACCTACAGGTTTTTGCGTGATCAATAAAACTGTAATAATAAAAAACTCTACAGAAGAATATAGTATAAAAAAATTAATTTTCCCCTAAGACTGCAAGTCAAGAATATATATTGATAATATGTGGTAAACCTCATTAGTTGGCTAAAATATGTAAATATACAATTACGGCAACTAGGACTGAAAAAAAAATCTATAAAAGCATGGATTAGAGAAAATGACCTCTGCCAATACAGACATTAGAAAGAAATTAATTAATATTAAGCAATCTATTCTTAGGAGTCATCTGGCTGAATTTTACTCACTTGTTCTTTAGGATCTTCTAAGTTTTTATAGGCATTGTGTTCACGTTCTGTTGCTTGCTGAAGCTGCCGTTTAAGGTCAGTAATGATTTGGGTTTTTTTAGCAATATCCATTTCCATTTCCTTCATCTTAATTGTGTGCATCCTGGTAGTATTTTTATATAGAAAAAAATAAGAGCAAACACTAATACTTCTGCAGAAATAGAGATTAAAATATCTTTAGGAGATTAAATGCCATAAAATACACCCTAAAATATGTTTGGGGCATTGGCCTTGAAGTAATCACTGGTCTTAAGCTGAAAGAAGCATAATGAAAAACACGTTTTTTCATCTTAGAATAAAGGCTTTTCCAAATGTTACACTTCTGTGGATCTTTGTGTCTACACTTTATTAAAGGAGGACTGGAATCTATTTATGATATTGCACATCAACCCCAAACTACCTCCTGCTAAAAACGTGCACATCTCTTCTGGATGGAGTCGGCATATTGGTCAGGTCTTAATTCAGTGTCAT